CTCGTAAACTATTAATGCTAGCGACAAACTTTTATATAAAGATTGTAGATCTCGTCGCCCTCTACAAGAAAGGTTGTATGCAATTTTCCCGTAGAACCAACGGTTTAGGAGTTATTGAAGAAAAACGAAATCTTTTTCCAAAAGTTGGCTGTTTCGACATTGGAATGGTCGGATTTTGTCAAAATTAATAAAATGCCAAATAATCATATGTAACTCATTAAATATCGAAATTAGAAGAAGAATGCACTATTTTTAACTATAGGAAATGCGGTTTTCTAAGGTACATGAACTTTTGGGATTGACTGTATAGCCAATACATCCTTAAATCTGGGCTTACAATCAGTGACAAATGAGGCTGATTCACGTGTTCGGGACAGAGTGGCTTGGTCGCAGTTATCACAGCACGAGTCAGGGTCTTACCAAACTGGATTTGAAATTAACTCGCATTTTAAATTAAATCGAGTGATCATTTTCGACAATCAAGCTCCAGTTTTCGAGATGCCTCTTAGAACAGCACGTTTTACCCTAATCAAGAATCACATTGGCTGTCCTAGACGATTGTTTCTTTCATAAGATACATACATATAAAAGTTCTTACTGCGCCGCGCCACTGTAAACACGTAAATACATGATCAGAGATTTCATGAAAATATTGCAGAAATCCTTTAAAAAATGAGTTCGAGTTTATTTTTATTCACAGCACTGTACTTGTCTAGGTTGATCATCTGAAATAATATTGAATAAGTTGGTCTGTCGCCAGTATTTTCATTTGCTCGAAAGACGGAGCCGGGAATTCCTACGCGCGACAAGTGGATTTGCATAAACCGCGTGGTCGCTCTTCAATTTCGTAATTCGTGATTCCGGTAGCGTGCGCCAGTACACGCGCGGGAATCGACTCGAATGGAATCGCGTCAACTGCAACGTGCCAGTTGCGTAATTTTGTATTCGCGTGGTCGCGACCACACCTCGTCAAGCGTAAGGTCGAAACGAAATTCTTTGCCCATTTCGTAACGAGTCGACGTCGAATTCGACGAATGGTTACGCAAAGAGAAGCTAAACGCTACTGCGTTTCGCCCAAGTCTTGGTGAATGAACTTTCTCCATACTCGTCGACAGTTCTTTTTAATCGGATATTTTTATCCCTATTTTACATATAAATTAAGTGCATTCTCACTTTCACAGTCATCCTCGTAGAAAACCCGTGGAATTTCATGCACGCGTGTTACATTACTAAATAGCGAATTTTTATGCAAAATAGAGCATATAAAATGTAATCGGTTAAGGAAATGCATTGAGATTCCAGTTTCCTTTATCATTTAACCATTGCAAGTCACTCGCTTTTTATATTTTATATATTTTTATGCGTCACGTTTATAGTTGCAGCACATTCGATTATTTCATAAATGCATAAAATCCACAATTTATACATTATTTCTGTCAGTTTTGCATTTCTTTCAAGTCAAATTAAAAGCGACTTGTTTTCTGTTTATGATCGGATTTATGTGGAGCGTATTTGTTCACAAATAATTAATAGTTACTTGGAGAAACTCTGATGATAGCAAATGAATTCGCTTATGTTTCATAAACTCGTCTGATCGGCGAAACGTTTTTGTTTACTGATACTCAGTTGCAGGAAAAATGATACAGACAAATCGTTGCGGCTTGAACACGA